AAGTTTACATGCTAAGTATGAAATTTAATTAATTTTAAAAGGATAAATTAATTTAAATATTGTTGGATTAAATTATTTTAATCATTTATTTAGATTTAAATTAATTTAATCAGAACATGGAGATGTACAATTCTGTTAATATGCATGTTAATTTCTTATGATGTAAATTAAATGTATACTATTTAGAATTGATATTTTTACTCAAGTAAATGCAAAGAATGTGTTTATGATTTATATCATATTTATTGGGATTATTAGATGTAAATATTATTTACATTATCATTGGATTGGAAACTGTTATTTGGTTATGTTATGGATTAATGCACCATTATGGGATGGGGGCATATTAGGGATGGATTAACTTACGAGTTAAGTCTTACCTATTTTTAATAAAGGAACGGATTAACCACAGTGTTAAGTCCTACTTATTCGTGTCAGGTCAACAAAATAGTTGGATGACATTTTATTAAAATAATAATTGGATAGTTTATTTTTTATGGTTGGTTTAGGATATACGCCACGATATGAGCTTGAGTCTCAGGATCAGTGGTTAGGGTGCATATATTGTCAGGGATGTGTAGCTAGATCTAGTGTAGTTGTGTACCCTGGTAGGTCTAGGTACTCATGCCCACCATATGTGCATTTTGCATGTTGCCTACTATTCAGGTTGAGACAACTTTATAGTCTAGTGAGGTTCCTTAGTGTGTATATATCTATTTATGGACTATTTAGTTATTATTGAATTAATTAGGATGTGTACGTGTATCGAGTCTATATTTGGGATGTAGTAGATTAGGACTTGTATGTGGGCCTGACCCACCATTATTTTTCAGGTGTTCATCAGTTCCAGTCTTAGAGGTTGTTCGTACCGAGCAGAGACAGTCATTCACTCTTCCGACTCTACGTAAGACTCTTCTTCATGGTTTAATTATTAGTTTTATTTCAGTTAGGATATTATTAGGGGTCCACAATATGGATTCCCGAGTTGTAGTTTAATTAATTACTAGTATCCGAGGATTAAAGGATTTTATTATTGAATTTTTAATTATTATTTATTTGAGGATTTTAAAATAGGGATTTATTATTTAGTTTCCTTCAGCTTATTATTTATTTACTTCTTTATTGTTCTTTTTGTATTCAAATGCTTGTTTAAATATTAATTGTTTGATATCCCTCGGATCTGTGCTCGGATTTGATCACCCATGGCTCTAGAATCGAGATGTATCACATAAATGGATTGTAATGAGGCCGTAGGCCATTGTGGTACGTCTATTTTATCATATTACATATACTTGCATATTTACTTTGGCACACAATACCATTCTTGATGAAACAAAAACTTAAGGTTGCATTTTTTTTTGTTTTTACCCTCTCCTGTTCCAGGGGCATTTCGGGTATTTCACATTGTGTTTTTTTCATTTTCGTTCGCATTGCCAGGTAGAAACTCTATTTCGGGGGGGTTTTTTCTTTATGTTTTTCCAGAAAGTGTCATCCTGGCCCTCAAAAACCCAATTTTTGCCCAAAAACCCCTACTGCCAGGTTTTTGTTGACCTGTAGTACAAGTGTGCGAGTAGTGAGGATCTCATAACCTGTTATGTGTGCTTGGGTAGAATGCGTGACCTCTGTTTTTGCCTCCTAACCGGTTAGGAATGTCTCCTAACCAGTTAGATGTTCTTGGGTTGGCTCCTCTTGAACTTTTTTTCCCCTGTTTCTTCCGTTAGCCATATCTTCTTCATCCGGACTCCGAATCAAGTGATTTTTGAGTCTAAGTTTATTAATTTTTTATTGTCTTTCCAATGGTGTGCTCAGTAACACTACTTTCATTTTGAAAATGATCATTTTGCCCCTAGGTTTCTTTTTTTGTCCATTGTTGAAATGTCACTTCTTCATTTTTTTTCTTTAGGTTCTATGACCTCATTGAGAGTCACATGACTAATTTCCTAGATTTGATACAAGTCATGCAAACAAGTTGTATAATCATGGAAAACACCCATTAAAACACATACAAAATCCTAAAACACCCCCTACCTCCATTTGAGATGAACTCTCAAATCCCCACCGAAATGAAACGGCTCCGAATCCGACCAAACTTTTAGGTTTTTTTTAGGGACAACACGGTGAACAAGAACCCCAAGGAAGCCCCGTGAAAATCACAACTTGACTTCAAACCCGAACTCAAGAAATGGCCAAAATGAGATTCCAATCGGTGGAATCAAAGGCCTCACCAAGACGAACATAAAACACTAAGGTACAATGACCTTTCATTGAAGGGAAGAAGCTCAAAAGAAGAGAGAGAAGATGGCAGCCATGACTGCCATGAGATTCGGCCAAGAGAGAGGAGAGAGAGAGAAAAATCTGATTTTTCTCTCTAAGGCCCCCTATTTATAGAAAATCTCAAAAAGTGCCTTGAACGGGCCTTGCTGAGTCCGAAAAAGTAAAATTTGAGTAGACATGCTCAAACGGTAAAACTCCATGAATGAAAAAGAACCAAAATGATAAAATATTAACAATGGAAGAAACGGCATCAAAAACCGAGTCCCGAGCAGAGAGATATGCCCCGAACAAGTTCGACGGCAACCGGGGCCAGAAATTCTGAAACTGGAGAAAAACGACCAAAACGAAATTCTAAGAGTACGTGACTCGATGAAATGTGAAAATGAATCCCATACGAGGATCCAGGCTCAAAACAAGGTATTTAGCAATAACTTTCATTAATTGCACAATGACCCCTCCAAAAAGTGAAAACTGCACAACTAGCCCAAAATGAAAATATCTTCCAAAAAAATATTTTCTTAGAAACCCCTGAAATAAAATATCTTCAAAATATATTTATGAAAAACACCCCAAGAAAAGAATAAGTTTTCAAAGAACTTTGCATCCATACCCCTACGGACACCGGGAGTAACCAGAGTACTTTTCTGCAAAAGTAAAGATACGTATTTCGTGAAAACCACTTAGAATGAAGATACGTGAAGTCAAAAACCAACTCTGAACATAAGAAGTGTGGTTATGCCAACAAAGTGACAGATGGGGAAAAGACGAAATAGGGAAAAGGAAGAAAAGTGAATAGTGTCCGAAAAATGAAAATGTGAAAATGACACGGTCCTCAAAGAAAGTTGTCAATCCAAAGAAAAGAGTCTCAGAAACTATTTCTGATCACTCAAGATGACACTATGCGACGAAAAACTAAGCTCATAAAGGAAAAGAACAACGGAAAAAAAAAAAAAAAATCGTGAAAATCTGAGAAAAAGAAAAGAAGGAAAATGACCGGGTCATTACAACTACTCTAGATTCACTTGGGTATTCTTTCTTGCACGCAAAAATGAGGCTCATTCAATTCTTTCAAAATTTTGCAAAAAAGTCGAAAACGAAAAGGAGTGTAAAATTAAAACCATTAGAAGTGATAGGGGTAGAGAGTTTGACAATCAAGATGTTGAAAGATTTTGCGACGAAAATGGATACAATCACAATCTTTTGGCACCTAGGACTCCCCAACAAAATGGAGTTGTTGAAAGGAAAAATAGATCTCTTCAAGAAATGGCTAGAGCCATGCTAAATGAGCACAAATCACCTAGATCTCTATGGGCCGAAGCCGTCAATACTTCATGTTATGTTATAAATAGAGTTGTTATTAGAAAGATTCTCAAAAAAACACCTTATGAGTTATGGAACAAAAGAAAACCTAATATATGATATTTCAAAGTTTTTGGGTGTAAATGCTTTGTCCTCAATGACAAGGATAATTAAGGAAAATTTGATGCTAAATCCGATGAAGGCATTTTTCTTGGTTATTCCTCTAGAAGTAAAGCATTTAGAGTTTATAATAAAAGGACTTTAGTTGTGGTTGAATCCATACATGTTGGGTTTGATGAATCCCCAACTACTTCTATAAAAAGTGTAATGGGCAATGATGAAGAAATTGAACTTGAAAAGGGTACCAATGAACTCAATGCAAATGAGTCCCCAATAAAACTTGAGAATAGTATCAATGAACTCAAAATAAATGAGTCTCCTATTGATGTATATCAAAATTTCAATTCAAGTGATGATATCTCTCAAAATAGAGCTACTCCAAATGAATGGAAGTTAGTTCATAATCATACCTTAGATCAAGTTATTGGTGACCCATCCAAAGGTGTTAGCACAAGGTCACAATTAAGAAATGTATGCAATTTTATGGCATTTGTTTCTCAATTCGAACCTAAAAACATACATGAGGCTGAAAATGATGAATCATGGCTTTTGGCAATGCAAGAAGAACTCATTCAATTCAAAAGGAACAAGGTGTGGCATCTTGTCCCTATACCTCAAAATAAAACAATTATTGGCACAAAATGGGTTTTTAGAAACAAAAAGGATGAGTCGGGAATCATTGTTAGGAACAAAGCTAGACTTGTTGCAAAAGGCTATAAGAAGAAGGTATAGATTATGAAGAGACTTTTGCTTTCGTTGCTCGGCTTAAAGCTATAAGAATGTTACTTGCATTTACATCTCACAAAAATTTCAAATTATTTCAAATGGATGTAAAAAGCGTTTTCTTAAATGGTTTTATAGATGAAGAAGTATATGTAGAACAACCACCGGGCTTTGAAAGGTATAATAATCCAAACCATGTTTACAAATTGACTAAAGCCTTATATGGTTTGAAGCAAGCTCCCAGAGCTTGGTATGAAAGATTTAGTGGGTTCCAACTTTCAAATGGTTTTGGTAGAGGTAAAATTGATAATACACTTTTTACCAAAATCATTGATGGTAATTTGATGATCATTCAAATTTACGTTGATGACATTATTTTTGGATCATTAAATGACTCTCTAAGTAAAGAGTTTGCTACCTCCATGCAAAATGAGTTTGAAATGAGCATGATGGGCGAACTCAACTTCTTCTTAGGGTTGCAAATCAAACAAACTCTTGATGGAATTTTTATTTCCCAATCAAAGTATACTAAAGATATGTTAAAGAAATTTGGCTCGAGAGATGCCAAACATGCTAAAACTCCTATGAGTCCTTCCTTAAAGCTTGACAAGGATGAGAAAGGCAAGGAAGTTGATATTAAAAAATATAGAGGGATGATCGGAAGTCTTCTTTATTTAACGGCTAGTAGGCCGGACATCATGTTTAGTGTGTGCTTATGTGCTAGGTTTCAATCTTGTCCCAAAGAATCTCACTTAAATGCTGTCAAACGCATCTTTAAATACTTGAATGGTACTAGTAACTTAGGTTTGTGGTATCCTAGGCACACATCCTTTGAACTCGTAGGATTTACAGATGCTGATTTTGCTGGTTGTAAAGTTGACAGAAAAAGTACAAGCGGTGCTTGTCACTTTATAGGTCAGTCACTTGTATCTTGGTCATGCAAGAAACAAAATTCAGTCGCATTATCCACCGCTGAAGCTAAATATGTTGCTGCTTGTAGCTGCTGTGTACAAATCCTATATATCAAACAACAGCTTGAAGACTTTGGTTTATTCTTCAACAAAATCCCTATCAAATGTGATAATACCAGTGCCATTTGCATATCAAAGAATCTCATTCAACATTCTAAAACAAAGCATATAGAGATTCGATATCATTTCTTAAGGGATCATGTATCTAAAGGTGATATTGAATTAACGTTTATTAACACCGAGAATCAATTGGCTGACATTCTCACGAAGCCACTTCAAGAAGATAGATTTTGCACACTTCGTCGAGAAATCGGAATGGCTATAGAAAGAGAGATTCATGATCACTGATGAATCCTTCAAGAAAAAAATGCGCTTCTAACTCTAGTTCGGCAGACTAAAACTATGTTTCGGTCGACCAATTGAAATATTTCGGCAGACCGATATTCTATTTCGGTCGTCCGTAATAAGAAAATGTTAACTCTCTTCAAAAGCCATTTCGATCGACCGATGAATCCATTTCAATCGACTGATGAATCCATTTCGGTCGACCGATTCTTTGGGGTTCTAACTCGTAAGGCCCAAATCTGGGTTTAAAGAGGCCCGCGAATCCCATTTTGTTTTCAATCTCAAAACCCTCTCTCTCTCTCTTGTTCTCAAGAGGAGACTGCGAACCCTCTCTCACTCTTTCATTTTGTTTTCAATCTCAAAACCCTCTCTCTCTCTTTCTCTCTCGTTCTCAAAAGGAGACTACGAACCCTCTCTCACTCTCTCTCTCTCTTTGCTATCAAGGTAAGTTGCAGTTCACTCACTTCAAATCAATCATTTCTTCGTTAGGTTTCTTTTTTGCTATTATCTATCTCTGTTGCATCATTCTAAGTTAGATTGCGTTGTACATAACTTTGTCATCTATCTCACAAAATTCCTCATCTTCTGAAAAGAACCCATGGCTTCCCAAAAAAATCCTTCTAGAACTGATAGAAACTTAGAAAAACGCACTAGGCATTCTCATGATATGGATGCCGGAGGGTCTAATCCACCAAACCCTGAGCACTCCGATCCCTATCCCACTCCAAATATGCGTCTTTTTCGTGAACTCGAGTTCAAGGAAGTATATGAAACCCGATTCCTCCACAAGATAGTTAAAAAGGGAAAAAATTTCGATAATAATGAAAATGAAGCATTGATTCGACATACTTTCTCACTGTTTGATGCTATAGGCTTAGGTGAATTTTTATCACTCAAAGCCCCTTACTAACCTAAGCTTGTAAGGTTGTTTTACACTCATCTGGAGAAAGAACTAGGGCAAAATACATACGATTCCTTCGTTGTAGGCACTCACATTCACCTTACCTTGTCCAGTATACGCCGCATTCTCAAAATTCCTCACGGCGATATCACCTACTTTACATCCTATAATTGGTATCATGGAGAAGAGTTTGATCCTGTCCAAGCAGTCCAACAAATGAGCCGTTTCCCTACTGAAAACACTGACAAGATTTTTGCAAGTCAGTTAACCATACAAGCCCGTCTCATCTATCATGTTATCATCCATACCATCCTTCCAAAATCCGGCGGACGCTCGGATGTGTCGTTTATGGAAGCTCTTCTCATATGGTGTGTCCTAAACGGAAAGCAGTTTGATCTCTCCTTCATCATCTTTCACCACATGCAAGATTGCATTAAAAAGGAGAAAACACACCTATTTTATGCCATGCCTCTTACCGTAATCTTCAGAGCATATAAGGTGCGAATAGAAGGAGAGGATAAAAAGGAGCTTACTAATCTCTACAGATTTGACAGAGACTTGCTAACTCGAATGGGTCTAAAAAAATCCGTAGCCAACATTTGGTATGACCCTAAGTTTGGAGTTCCGCCAGATGAAGGCCAAGACATTGTCATGGCAGAGCACCAAGCAGGAGGTGCTGAAGAGGGTGGTGATGAAGACAGAGAAGAGGAAGTAGAAGTAGAAAGAAAAGAAGAGGTAGAACAACAAGAATTTATGAATATCCCTCCTTCCGAAGAAAGGTCCCTCCATGAGCTTCTCCTTGAGAGTATTGCTCTTTCAAAAGAGCAAATTGCCATTGAAAAGGAAAATAAGGACCACATTCTCGCCTTGCGCGAATGAGTTGAAGAGGTAGCAAATGAAGTCGACATTATCAAGCACGACCTCGCTGATCTTCGAGCTACGGGACTTCCTCACTTTTGATGCCCTTCCCCCTCCCCTCCCCTTTTTGATGAATGACAAAAGGGGAGAAATGATGTTGAAAATGTAGTTATGACAGTTAAGGTGGTAAAAAATATAGGTAATATAATTATGAAGTTGTGAATAGGGTAGTGAAATGGTGTAGATGTTTTGATGTGATCTTTGACTTGACTGTACTTTGAATTCTTGAATCAAATGGAAATACATGTTTTTGGTATTTATGAATTGCATGTTTTCAAATACATTGTCTTGATTTTTTTATATATATATGCATACATGCCTTAAATATGTCTTGCTAATAATGTTTAGATGAATGCACAAGGAAAGGGGGAGATTTGTAAATCTCTTATATGTATATCTTCACTTTCAAACTATGCACATTGATAGGGGGAAAACTGTTCACACTTTTTATTCTCATTTGACGAACACATCAATGAATTGTCATCCTCAAAAAGGGGGAGATTGTTGACCTTGAATCTAAGGATTTTGATTATCATAATTCATTAATGATGTTCTATGTGTACTAATGTCTACCTTAAGCAAAATTACAAATCAAAAGTATTCATCAAGACAAGTCATTGCATATTAACGCTCAAAGGAAAAAGCATCATCAAGATATGACAAAGAGGAATCAAGATTCAAGAGAAGTTATCAATATCTCAATAGGGTTAGCTAGGATGGTGAGTTTTTAGGAAACTTCTGTTAAAGCATGTATGAACATCTTGAAGCTCACATTCTCATAATCATACATAGAAACTCACTCATTAGGTTTAAGGATCATTGGACAAAGTTTAAACATCATCAAAACATGTTCCTGAAATATAAATTCCATTTCAGTCGACTGAAATGGAAGGATAATTTAAACCGGTCGACCGATTTTATCAAAAAGCTTGGATCAAAACTTCCAAGTAATTTCGGTTTACCGAAACTCAGGACCATTATATTTCGGTCTACCGAACCTAGCAAATGAAAGAACATCACTTGAGTTTCAAACGACCGAAACTAAAGAGGCAAATGAATCAGTAGAGCCGATTCTCACAAAATGTTTTAGAACAAAGGAGGAAGGAGTTTCGGTCGACCGAAACAAAGGGAGTTTTTCATCGGTCTACCGAACCAAGGCTAGTGGTCAACCTCACACCAATTCGGTCGACCGAACCTCAAGAGTGATTTATTTCGGACGACCGAACCTGCGAAAATTCAAATTTCAAACGGCCATTTTTCCTTGAAGTGTGTGTCCAACAGCTAGAATTCATATCAGACTCATCTGAAACTTTATATAATGAGTTGTGGTCTTCATAAAAAGTAATTGCATTCATTGAGAAAGATCTTCTTGCAATCATAGAACCTTTTTATCATCATACACATACTCTATATCCACAAAGAGTATTGAGCTTCAATTTATTCATACATACTCTAGAGTGAGCTAAATCTTGTACTTTAGATCTAAGAGAGATCATCTTGTACTTCAACAATCTTATTTAAATCTTGTAAGGGCTGGTGTGGCCCAAGGAAGACTAAGAGAAGTTGTTTCTCTTAGCACTTGGAAGCAAGGAAGAGCTTCTTGTAAAAGGTTTGCTCTCCACCCGTAAGGAGAAACCATAGTGAATTGGGAAGTCTCAAGAGGGGTCTTGAGCCGAGGAGTAGGGGTTTCCGAACCTCGCTAAAATCGCCGAGTACTTGTTTGCAATCTCTCTCCTTATCTCTTATATCTATTGCTTCAAGTTCTTTTGAATTTATTTCTTGATAATTGCTTATAGGTGTAACTTGGACTTCAAATTGCTTGTTAAATTATTATTGAGAAATCTACTTCGCTATTGCACATCATTTGAAATTGAAAATTGACTATTGTTTGGTAAGACTCTATTCACCCCCCCCCCCCCCCCTTTAGAGTCATTAATTGGGCAACAACCCTAGATCAATTCTAGCATAAATCACATAATTCATGCAACTCAAACAACATAGAAGCATGCTATACAAAGCAACAAGATATAAATTCTCAAAGTCATCAACTTGAATTCTAAAAGTGCGAAAACAACTAAATATAGCAATTTAGTATAATTAGATTTTCTAATACCACACATCATGACATAGATTCTCTAGGTTATCAACTAGAAATCTAAAAGTGCAAAAATAGCTAAATATAGCAATTTAGTATAATAAAAATTTCTAATACCACACATCAAGACATAAATTCTCTAAGTTATCAACTAGAAATCTAAAAGTGCGAAAACAACTAAATATAGCAATTTAGTATAATTAGAATTTCTAATACCACACATCAAGATATAGATTCTCTAGGTTATCAATTAGAAATCTAAAAGTGCGAAATCAAATAGTGGAAGACTTGGACATCACGCTCGAAATTCTGCCGAAACCTCAACGGTTATTCCGGGCATTAACCCGCTGGGAAGAACACCCTAGTGCGCACTATCTCAACGAGGAGAACTCATACCTCCCGCACTAGAGCCAAACTCTAGCCATATCTCTGTAACAATGTCCCAAATGACTCCAAAATAAATAAGTTAACAACTTATATATATATTAAATAGTACACGAAAGTACCTTCATGCACAAGTAGGTTGAAACCACACAATACATGTTCTAAACCACAACTACTATAGGATGACAATGTCGAATTTTCAAAGTGCGATTCGTTACACGCTATAATAACATCACATGTCGAATCTTTAGTGTGCGATTCGTTACACGCTATAACAATATAATTCAATATTGGAAACATAATCTCATAGATCCATTACAAGTCTAAAATCATACTTCAAACATAATACCAATGTCAAACAACATAACATGGTCATTACATATACCAATTCAAAAACTTAATTAAACCATTAGAACGATAAAATGGAATTTAATTAAATCATGATAATCAAATCCCTAAATTCTAAAACAATATCAAATAGTCCCAAATTAACATATGCTAGTATACAAGTCCTAGTCATCACAAATATCAAGTTAAAAACTTAATAAAGCCAATGGAATCTTTAAAATAGATTTTAATTAATCCTTTTAATTAAAATCTCTAGATTTTCATACTCATCCAAGTGCTCTTAAATTAAAGTATGTTAAAGAACATGCCAAAACTTAATTTAAACGCATAACACAAGTTAATTTCATACAAGGTACATCAATGAGAATTAAACTTTCATAAAAGATAATTATTAAATAAAAAATGCAATTCTTATTCAAATAATTTCAATTTAATAAATGTTAACAAACATATCAAAGCATAATTTATCATCATGCCACAATTCAATTCTAAGCTATATACATCATTGCAGATTAAATCTTATACAAAGAAATAAATATTACTGATATTCTAGATTTGACATGCAAACAAGTTGTATAATCATGGAAAATACTCAATACAACACACACAAAATCCTAAAACACCCCCTACCTCAATTTGAGATGAAATCTCAAAAGCCACCAAAATGAATCCGCTTCGAATTCGACGAAACTTCTAGGTTTTGTCAGGGACAACACGATGAACAAGAATCCCAAGTAAGTCCCATTAAAATCACAACTTGACTTCAAACTCGAACTCAAGAAATAGCCAAAACGAGATTCCAATCGATGGAATCGAAGGCCTTGCCAAGGCGAACATAAAACACTAAGGCACTATGACTTTTTATTTAAGGGAGGAAGCTCAAAAGAGGAGAGAGAAGGTGGCAGCCCTTGGCTGCCAAGGAATCCGGCCAAGAGAGGGGAGAGAGAGAGTGAAATCTGATTTTTCAATTAAAGACACTTTATTTATAGAAAAACTCAAAAAGTGCCCCGAACGGGCCCCGCCAGGTCCGAAAAAGTATAATTTGAGCAGACGCGCTCAAATGGCAAAACTCCATGAACCAAAAAAAAAACCAAAATGAGAAAAGATGAACAACGGAAGAAACTGCGTCAAAAACCGAATCCCGAGTAAAGAGATATGCCCTGAACAAGTTCGGCGGCAACCGGGGCCAGAGACCCTAAAACTAGAGAAAAACAACCAGAAGGAAATTCTAAGAGTACATGACTCAACGAAAAGTGAAAATGAAACCCGCACGAGAATCCAGGCTCAAAACAAGGCATTTAGCAATAACTTTCATTAATTGCATAATGGCCCCTCCAAAAAGTGAAAACTGCACTAATGACTCAGAATGAAAATATCTTCCAAAAATATTTTCTTAAAAACTCCTGAAATAAAATATCTTCAAAAGATATTTACGAAAAACACCCCAAGAAAAGAAAAAGTTTCTGAAGAACTGTGCATCTATGCCCCTATGGACACCGAGAGCAACCAAAGTACTTTTCTACAAAAGTAAAGATACATATTTCATGGAAACCACTTAGAATGATGATACGTGAAGTCAGAAACCCACTCCGAACACAAAAAGTGAGGCTATGTCAACAAAGTGACAAACGGGGAAAAGACAAAATAGGGAAAATGATGAAAAGTGAATAGTGTCCAAAAAGTAAAAATATGGAAATGACTCGGTCCTCAAAGGAAGTTGTCAATCCAAAGAAAAGAGTATCAAATACCATCCCCGGGCACTTAAGATGACACTAAGTGATGAGAATCCAAACTCAGAAAGGAAAGGACAATGGAAAAAAAAAAAAAAAATATTCGTAAAAATCTGAGAAAAAAAAAAGGAAGGAAAATGATCGAGTTATTACAATTCAAGAGCTATAATTCTGAAAACAATTAATTGGGAGGATGTTCAACTTCTCAGTGGGATCTGCAAGAGGCAACACCAAAGTTATATAAAGCCGAAGAGGGAGGAAAGCGAATCGAGAGCGTGAACGCAAGAGCGACAAAATTAAATCACAAATAGTGGGAAAAGGAATGAAAGCATGTGGAAAGTGTGAGAGTAAAAGCGCGCTCAAAGCATGAAACCGACACACATTGAGAAGGATTTTTTGGCATAGGACACTGCTACCTAAAAATAGAGACAATTCAATGAATTAGAACAAATTGTAGAACAATCCTCAACTAAACATTTTAACCAAATTATTTAAGAATTCATATTGACAATTCTCCTAATCTTTTAAAGAATAATGTCGACTAACCCAAGTAGCAATATGTATCTCCACGTAGGCTCACATAATTTAATCTCTTTGATATCTATTACTTATTTTGAATTTGCATTGCTTACTTTTCACGTCAACAAAGTATTTCCCAAAAAAGAAAGAGCCCCAACAGTTTATTATTATGAGAGAAAGTGGATGTGTGTGTGCGCGCGCGCGCACAAATCTTTCAAAATTTTGAAGAAAGAAAATCCAAGAGCAAATGAGGAGAGATTGATGGAGAACATTACAGACGTAATAAGTATATATTAATTTGCCAAGGGGTGAGTTAAATACAGATGCCACTTCGAAAGAAGAAAAAAACAAAAAAGACATACGCCAATTGAAAAAAAACACACACACACACACACACACAGAGTGGGTGAGTGAGAGAGAGAGAGGTGTTCAAATGGTTAGCAATACAGTTCCAGTGCCTACATCTATATATGTGCAGAAATTACAATTTGCTTGTTCCTCGACTTCCATTATATGAACAAGTAGGGGAAGCCTTTGAAAACAAGCACCACAAAAAAATTTGTTTGCTCCTCAACTTCCATTATGAACAAGTAGTGGAAGCATTTTATAACAAGCACCACAAAAAAGGGAGCAAGACCTGTTGCATGATCATCTAGATTTTAAAAACAAAAATGGCCACATGAAGCACCAAAAAGGGAGCAAGATCTGTTATACGATCATCTAAATTTTAACAAAAATGGCCACATTCAGCTTCTATCCTAAAGTCACCTCATGTATTACCTGTTAAAAATAATATGTTTATAGGCTGCATACTGCTAATTAGCATAATCTACTCGTATGCCTACCACTTGAATAACCCATGCCAGGATCGACTCTCTACATTCTCATCTGTGGAATCTGAGCCACTTCCCATTGTATCATCTGAACTGTCATCTGGAAGGAGTTGTATTCTATCGGCATGCTTTATGACCCAATCAGTGAACTCTGGAGAGGATGCCCACTGAGCCACCGCTTGCCGGGTTGATTTCTGAGTAAATTCCTCCCACTCTTTCTTTGAGAACTTCTTTCTGTTACGTGCTTTATGGAAGGTAGAATAGTAATCCTGCTGATTTCGTACCACTCTACTGCTAGAAGGCGACACCAAACCTGCAAGCACCAAAAACAATGCGTGTCAAATGAAATGGACGATAGGCAACAAATGGAAGGTCATCCTTGCCAAATATGCAAAACAAATTAATAGATCATTTACCAAAAATAAATAAATAAATAAACAATTAATGTCATTATATTGAAATCACTGAATTATACATGGTTATTTTAAAGCATAGGGTTCATAAAGGCAGGTAATATCATTTATCCAGTTCTTCATAGCAAGTCATATCAAACAATAATCAAAGTCCAAGATTACTTTCTTTTCCCAGTAAGTAGGAAGATTTGAGTTAGAAAACCATGTAGAAATCAGAAGGGATGCATACCAATCCTGTAAAAAGAAAAGACTGAAACGACTGTATGCCCGCTTGACACTATTAAAAAATTTACCCATCCAACATTCACACGAGCAAAGGGAGGAGATTCTTGGACCCTCAAAATGCGACGACAACAGCCAAAACTAGGAGTGTGAACACTGGGATAGACATACATCAGTCTATATGCAATCAAATCACAGGAGGATGTGATAGTCATACATAGGGCTATAAAGGAGCCAAAATTAAGTGGCCCTGAACCCAAGCCCATCTCCATTGCTCAGCCCATTCTAAACCCTATCTCTATTACCTTCTCTTTGTCCCTCACACACAACCCTAGCCGCAAAGATGAATCAATACTTGGGTGTTCCTCTGATTTGTACTAGACTTAGAATTGATGATTGGGTTGATCTTGTGAAAAGAATCACTTCTAGAGTTAGGTCTTGGCATAGTAAATTCTAGTCCTTATGTTGGGAGAATGCAGATCATTTCTTCTGTCATGTTTTCTATCCAAGTGCACTGGGCTTCTTGTATTGTCGTGCCTAAAAAGTCATTAAGCAGGTCGATGGTGTGATGAGAAACTTCTTGTGGTCTGGTCCTGAGGTGTTTACTAAGAGTGCTAAAGTTGCATGGGACAATGTTTGTTTTCCCAAAACAGAAGGTGACCTTAGGTTTAAAGAATTATTATCTTGGAATTATGCTGTCATGAGCAAGCATATTTGGTACCTCTTACAGCCCAAGTCCTCTTCTGTTTGGGTTAATTGGGTCAAGTATTATTTTCTTCGAGGTAGAAATTTTTGGTACATTCCTATACCAGCTGAGTGTACTTGGTCTTGGAGAAAGCTTTTAAAGCTGAGGCCAATTTTTAGACTGCAGTGGATGTATGTTGTTGCTAATGGAGTGGATGTATCTTTATGGTTTGACTACTGGCTTCCAAATGGTGTCATTACTTATAATTATGGGGAGAGGGTACGTTTTAATTCTGGTTCTCAATGGCATTGGCCACGTAGATTAATAGAATTGAGTACTAATATGCCTGTGGGTTTGGGGTTTTCACCTGGGGGATGCCCCTTGTAGTTTGTATTAATAGCTTTGCCTTTTTTCAGTGTTATAAAATGCTTAATTTTCAAAAAAAAAAAAAAAAAAGATGAATCTTACCTATTCGTTCTCTTTCTCACACACACACAACCCTAGCCGCAAAGATGAAATTTAGACCCAATGGATGAGATTTTGAAAGGCAAATGGATTTTTCCAACCTTAAGGCTGCTCATCTTCCTCCAGGAAAGGCTATGTCTTGTCTGTGACATACTTGTTTTGTGATACAATAGCCGGCCACAGAGGCCACCATTGACGACGAAAACAGGTGACATCCTTCGCCAATAGGTCAGTGCTCTCTCTCTCTCTCTCTCTCTCTAAATAGAGTTGAGATCCGTGGCGATTTCTCTCACCAGTGAGGCATATACACACATATACAATGTAACATATGTTTAAGCGAGCCAAAGTTGAGCTATCCGAGCTCGTTCAAACACCAGCAAGCCAAGCTCAATCTTGGCTAGCCAAAGCTTGATCAAGCTCAACCCGAGCTCAAGCACCTCTCTAGATTTGCTGAGCCGAGCCCGAGCACCCTAAAGCTCACCCTAGTCATCCACTAGATATTGATTTTGGTAGAATCCATTCATGCTGAAGCCATCTGTGACTGAGAATCTACTTTTTCGTAAAAGAAAATCGAAATTCAAATCCTAACAGTTATACAACTGGTTAAAATCATGAAGCATGTCATTGGGATTAAATTTTTTCCAAGTCAAAGCAAATATATTATATGTATACAAAAATAAAATATTATATGCATTCACTTTTTAAAATCAATGTGAACATAGATGCTGGAAAAGGAATGTAAGAAAATTTGGACCTTTAACAGGAGAATTGGACCGAGCAGACAAATTCCTTGGGCTATTCGACAATGTTCTTCTAGCACGCATGTTCTTTGACCTACTAAGGAATTCAGCACGATTGTGCTTTGGAGTTGCCCAAGCACCACCTCGTGGCCAAGTCTCGTCCTCAAAATATGGATACCTAAATCGAATCACGTTGATAATGTTAATCTATTGATAATACAAGGTAAATGAGGAAATTTTGGAATCTGTCCTATCAACTGCACCACACTAACACTAAAAACTGCAACAACAATTGTTCATAGCTCAGATCTACAAAGAAACAGGGTCCACCATTTTTTTTGTCTACCATTTGAAATAAGCCTATTTGATTCCCTTAATTACCATCAACAATGATCCTGTAGTCTGTACCATAGTGTCTGTGCCTCCAAATGTTGAGACAAAAGTTAAAATATAATAAAATAAAATTACTATATTCCCATTAAACATCCGAAGAACTCTTTAATCAATTTTCATGATCATCGGTCCTTTCAATCAACTTTTCACAGGCCACCAATTCTGATCGTCCAAATGGATGGCTTAGATAATTTTTACTCAAAATAGCTAATAAAAGATCAATCATTGATTTAGATGTCGTAGACGAAACAGATTGAAAAGGACTGGTCAACCACCTAGAAGAGCTATTAGGTACCAGTATTCCAGAATGAGTCAGGAAATAAGGGAAAGGCAGGAAAGAAAAGCTATATCGAACTTACTCAAGAACATGCCACTTTGAAGAAGTGACAAGAGAGCAAATTGTCAAACTAGTAACCAGTACCCCCATTGCCAAAGGAGTATCAAGAGTGCTCTGACAGAGAATAAAGAAGAATAAGTTAGGAACAGCAAAACTATTAAGGTATATGACACATATATATATATATATATTTACTTAACACTGACATCCTTTGCTTATTGATCTGGAACTAATTTGTGCAATATATATATATATATATATATATATATATATATATATATATATAGTTTGATAAGTAAAATAATATATTTTCATACACAATAAAAGAAATACGAAGGCTTTCAGTAAAAAAGACAGCCAAGAATCATTTTTTTTGTGATGGCAGGGTGGCCTTCATTTGATGAGTAATGTCGAGGGACAAGTAAAATGTGGCTTCAGTTATACAACATTACAAGCATACTATTCCCCATTATGAATATTAGAACTTTCCTAATTTTTATACGGAATTACATTTACAGAGCACCTGAAAAATAAATGTTGCTGCAATGATGCGCATTGCCCATTTCACAAATTGAGCTACACCAACATCCACACTTCCATCTTCTGAAATAACATATTTCCGCACAATCCAGTAACCTAGAGCAGCTCCTGCAAGAACAATCAAGACCAGTACAAACACAGACACCTGTAAAAGGGCAAGGTGAAAACTGTTAAAGATATAAAAGGGGAAACAAAGCTGTTACCATGGTTTAGTTGAAAACTGGAGAATCATGAGAAGAAATAAAAAACCAACCCATATATATATATATATATACACACACCAAGAAGCCAACATAAATGTCACATTCACAAGTGAACTGCATATTCCTTTTGGACCTTTTGTACTGATACAAGAAGCACCACATCAAGATACCAAACAAGACGTCTTGTCAAGCAAGTGAACTGCATATTATAAACCCAAAGACTAATTACGAGTGAAACCGATGTCTCCAAATGCTATGTATGGGTGCCATGCAACTAGGAACAACCTTGCAATTCCAAAACTTCATAGAAATCATTCCAGAGGAATAATGCCTGTTGCCAAAATATGACCCATAGCCATACAACACAGATGACTGCATGTATATGCAAGTTCATAATTTCTTAAGCTACTAGTAACTTTGATTATTCAAATTAATTAATTTTCAATAGAAGAAATACCAACAGAAATCAAACCTATAAATGATTTTTGCAATGATGGATAAATTGCCTATTGTTTTTAGAGAAGGGGAAAAACCTTTAAGACTCAACATGAAGTATTTTTAAAGGCTTTATGACTGTTTCATATACTTCACAGCCATTGCATACTTCTACACCAAGGAAAATTAGAACGCAGATTGAATCATGCAGATTGAGACCTTGTCCTTCAGATCATACTAAGAGGGCAGACGTGGGGGTGGAATTTATATAATTGTAAGGTTCGCTCTGTAATGTGCAAGTATCATTATCTTTTGAATTCTGAGATGCAACTATGATGCCTAAGGGAATCTACGTATTGGGCCCAACTTTTTCCACACACCTCCTTTCCTTAAATTTTCTGCACATCCCACCACTGAAACCATAATCACAATCAGTTTATCTTTTTCCCAGCCCTAAAAAATATCTGGTTAGGCAAACCGAATCCTTTTTGCTAAACATTGAAACAGCCTAGTTACTGTTCCCAACACAGCCTCAAAGATGTTGCTTTTCTCTACTTAATTGCACTATCAAAACCCCCCATCACATTCTACACCATTAAAAATTATTATCAATCAATACTTTAACAAACCTTTAGGCACAACACAAGGAAGAAAATAAACAACATTCAGCCTCTAAAAAACCCTTTATAACACAACAACATTGATATTCATGTCAAAGTTTCTACAAGAATGTTCTTCGCACTTGCCCTTCATTACAGTGTTGTGTCCTAGTTTTGATGTCAACACTAACTAAAGATGGTAAAAACAAAAAAATTTACCTGACTAAAACAAAGAGCATTTAGGAATACCCCACTGTGTTTTGTAATCTATTCTGCACATTAGGACAGATTCACACTCAAATGCCCAATCTGCAGATCAGCAAGAAAGCTGTCCCTTGCTCTAAGAAATTAGATTTCCCAACTGTAAAACCCATTCACTTGTATCTTAGTAGTGTTAAGATAAGTTTTATGTTGTTATACAACTTTTTATTAAATATATGACCAAAGACAGAAGGATGCTTAGGTCAGCCATTCATTTGTAACGCAAATTCAGATTCCAACAGCCACAGACAGGATTCACCAGAAGCTACTTGTAAGCAAGCTACTCTGCAAGTACCTATAAATCGTATCTGATATTCATCAACACCGTCCACAATGTTAAAAAAGGCAAACAGGACTTCTTCAAAGTTCAAATTATATCTTAATTCTAATAATAGATGCGTTAACTATATCAGTACATTTTATAAGTAAATTATTTTTTAAAATTCCAAGTATAACCTTTTAATGGGAAACCTTACATACTGGCAAAAGAATCAGTAGGTATTTAAATAATAAATAAAGAAAAGCACAAGGATAGAGAAAAAAGATGAAGGCCATGTGTAGTTGTAAACTGGCCTCTTGATACGTGCAATGAATAAAATACTGCTGAAATAAAATAATTGCATTCCCTAACATCAATCCAACTGACAACAAACCACCCCCCCCAACCCGCGGGAAAAAAGGAAAAGGAAACATAAAAAAGGGCAAGTACAAATTAATAATAAATTTATTAAAAGTAAAACCACAGTAAAGGAAACACCAAAAATGATAAGATAGTGTACTTTTTCATTAACTGATTTATGGACAGCATCTAATCATTTTCCAATATAGAGTATATGCCAATTTTTTTCTTTTTGGAATTTTATCAATATTGAATACTAAATATTAAAGCTAGAAAATTCTTTTTAAAAAGTAAAAAACAAAGATTACACATATGACATTTAAAAAATATTTCATCATACAATTAACTAATTCCAATAAATAAATAAAAATTAAAAAAATTAAAAAAAGAATCAAAATAATAACAGAACAATTTCATCAGCCTCAACTAGACATAAACATTCCCAACCATTTGAAAATAAAAAATAAAAAAATTTGGTGATTTAAAAATGTGCAGTTAAATCGCATGGTATTCCATTTTTGCTAACTACCTCAACCCATGTCCATTATTGACTACTCTTCAACCATCTCACTAGTATATTTCTTTCTAATTTTCTCCTTTCCTATCTTGCCACATAAACATCTCAGCTATTTTGCTACACATTTTATGAATATGTCATTTCTTATCGCCCAACATTCCATCCAATAAAATATGACCGGTTTAACAACTCTTTAAGAGAATTTACTTTTCGGATTTAGAGGTACACGCTGATCACATAATATGCCAAAAGTCATCCCCTATCCAACCCACTTTGAATTAATTCTAAGATTTAAAATCATCTCCAATTTCTCCATCCGTGTACATAATCTGGTCAGATTGATGGAAATAGAAAACATAACATGTTGAACTTTCAGCAATGTCAACAACTAATGGTGTTCTCATATATATAGTTAGCAAATCTCCATATATTAAATCAGAATATATATTTATACATATAAAGGCTCCCCAAAGTATTAGGGAAGGAAAAAAAAAACTATGGGGAAAAGGGGAAAAAGAATATAACATGTTCTACTAATGGTTAAATTTAATTATGATGATTTTGAATAGAAATTGATCAGATGGTGTTTGTAAATCCCTTTAAGAAATCAATAACATTCTAAAATTAGGAGTGTTAAACCAAAAAAAAAAAGACTAATCATTTTCACCTCTTTGCATGATCGATTCACTAACAAAGACTATTAGATAATAGTCCAACTCATATACAGATAACAAAGACTATTAGATAATAGTCCAACTTATATACAGATAAACAACAAGTCAAAGAAAAAGATTCAATTTTTTAAATAAATAAATAAATAAAAAATCATAAATTTATACATATGGAGGTAAGGACAAAGTGGTCAATCTTATCAAGCGAACTGAGATCACACGGATATCTTTTGTTAACAGTGCTGGTTGTAGGTTTAGAACAACGAGTGTTAGTTCCACTGCATAAAAATCTCAAGAAGCATTTTCAAGTTTCAATAAAGCGGTACATCGGCAAAACATTTCAGATTGAGTGGGTTAATTTACACAAATATTGATTAAATTCATATGACCATATTGAAAATCTAATGAAGCTGACTACAGCTGTGAAGATGTGTGCTTACTCGTGAGATGATAAATGGGAAAGAGAAAATGGAAGTAAGAGGACTTACAGGGTTGTGCATCTCTTCACTCAGCCCAAAATTGACAAGAATAGAATTAACCAACATTGAAAATTGATGAAACAGAAAAGATCCTGCTCCAAGCTGAAACAATATGGAGGTAAGATCCATGAATGTAAGATGTTTAACATAAATAATGAAATACCTTCTAACAGCATTAGACTGGAGCAAAAGAACGCTTACCACTGATCCATATATAGTGAGATAGAAGACATTTTTCCTGCCAGTTGGTAATAATTTCATTCCCTATGCCACAATGCAAAAGCAGACTAATGAGACATCTAGTTTTTTATGAACATAATAGCAGATTGTAGAACTTATAAGACGAAAGATATGTTCTATAAAATCATATCGCTGAGATGCAATTTTACTGTAAGCAAACTCATGCTTCAATAGTTAATTAAGCAGTAAGACTTTACTTGGAGATGAATGCATTGATGCACATCATAACATAATAGTTATTTTCCCTTCCCTTGTCCATTTTATAACTCTCAATGAGAAAACCAGTTTCTTGTCAATATAGATTTAGATGATGACGCTTTAAAAAATCACAATGAGATTTCTAGTTCGTGGCACAATCACAAAACTATAAAGAGACATTGTGGATTCAATTTTTTTTTTGTAAAAGTTATTGATCAGACTGCAAATGCAACCACTAACAAACATTTCTATTTTTCCTGACTTGCAATGCTAAAAATATTTATCAGTGTCTCCCAACATATCAAATAATAAGGATTTTTTTATTATGTCCTAGTATACGGTCTGAACCATACAAATAAGACCATATAATAGTAAAGAGTTCGGATAAATCTAAAAGGCAACAAGACAAGCAAAAAATAAAAAAATAAAAACTATTTCATGCATAATGGACCCAAATACCTGAAACAGAAGGATTACAATGACAAGCAACACACCAATGGCCATTGAGCTGCTATAATAAAAGGGAACCCAACTGCTGATAATTGGTGCCAAGAGCAGTAAAACAAAACCCAGGGCAAGACAAAGCAGACGCCATCGTTGAAACTCTGCATGCAACAGACAAGTACAGCAGGATAGCAAATTAAACACGAGCTTCAGGAAAATAACAACAAACAAATAATAAATAAAAAAGCACACAACCTTCTTCAACGGTGACAGTGACAGAACCAGAAACATCACCAACAAACTTGACATCAATGTATCTGTCCTGATATGGTGACATGAAAGAGCTCCATAGCCCCTTCTGGACAGATTTCCACTCATCCTTATCACATTGACATAATCCAAGGGAAGCATTCCTGCAAAAAAAGACACAATTCTCCGCAATAATGAAACTTAAGCACTAAGGTAAAATGTGCATTGAGCCGGGGGAGAGAGAGAGAGAGAAAGGAGCTGTAATTCCAAAATATTTGGCTTACTGGAGAAAACAAATCTGAATTTTGCTATGTAATATCTCAGGGATAGCTACCGATGGGGCCACAGTAACCTTATAAACACTGGCATAACTCCCAAGTTTTGATCTTGATAGACCAGCAACTCGAATACGCTCACACGATAAAACGTCTTCAGAACCACGAGCAGAAAGTGTATGGCCGGAGAGGGTGGATGGAGTTACATCAAGAGATGGATTTTGCACATCAATGCCTGAAATTTCAAATTTAACATGCTTAAGATTATTAATATCTAACATACCCACTTAGAGTCAATGACAAGAATGAAAACGGTTACATAACTGTGGTCATCCAAGATTCCATGACAAACATAATTTCATAGAACAACACTAAATTGGGCATTTCAAGCACCATATACTGATTCAGCCATTGAACCATCAGTAACCTAAAATAGTCATTCCAATTGAACAAGCCAATTATACTTTCAGGCTCTATATTTCCTTCAAAACAAAGCAAATTCAATTCTTTCCATATATCCTAGATTTTTAAGGAAATAAATTTAACCCAAGTTTTATGTAGATAAATAGTTTTTATTGGAAAGGAAAATGATATATAACTAGTAAAAATTCTTTTATCACTAGAAGAATTTTCCATGAATATATTTTAAGTAGAAACAAACCGCCCCACTAACACAAGCATATTGAACAACTTGCCTCCCAATTATTCACAATATAAGACATTGTCATCAATGTTACAAAAGCAATACAACTACTTTGAATAGAATAAATAGAGTAATTCATCAAAAAAACGAACAAGAAAAAGCAACTAATACTGCAAACGAACTATTAATAAATTTCAGTTCTGAAGTTTAGGAAGAAATAAATTTGTTTTTATCAATCTTCTAAAGAAACTGCTAAAAAGTCACGCTTAGATCAAACACTACATAGTCGACACCAAATCGTTTAAACCAAAACTACAAAACAAAACCCTAATTTTACGCGAGGTCAATTTTAAAAGGTAAAATAAACTACAATACTAAATCTCAAAGTTTCCATTAATTCACACCTCATTATAAGACGAAAAGCACTTCTGGAAATTCTATTATGTGAAAAGTACCTTTGAATGTTGTGACATGGATCGAACTGTTCGAACATAAGGAGGTCGAAAGCGAAACTAACAGGAAGAACAGAAGAATAGTAGTAGATGAGCCCATCGCCCTCCCTCCGTCACCTCTTCTCTTCTCTTTCTCTCTCTAGGTCTCTAGAGAGAGAACGCGCGCTTGTCTCTTGATTTCTTCAAATTCTCAGTTATACCCAAAAGGGCCAAAACTATATACACATAACTGCGTAAATTATTGTTGTTAATTTTTAAGCTTTTCCCTTCATTGATAAGCATAGAAAACACTAGAAGATAAATTTTGCGTTATAGGGGTAAAAAACACTTGTATGCAAGGACTTGACCGAAAAAATAAAGGGTTAAATTCATCTGGACCCTGAAGTTTGTCAATGCTTCAATACACCCTCATATTTTCGAAAATTCAGTCAAATCCCCCACATTTTTTTAATACAAATCAGTCTCCTCCCTTCTTTAACTATCAAAGTTGTTTAGAGACACTTTTTTCTAACATCAACAAAAAAAAAAAAAACTAAATTATAATGCCAAAATTACCCTCCTACTGTCATGTTTGGCTATAGACATGGCTATATACTATGTATCATATAGAAGTATAAAGATACTCGTTTAATAAAATGGTGTCGTAAGTCTTCTTCCCCAATAATGAAAAGTGAAAACATACAACCCTCAGTTCATGACCAGCCTGTTCCACCAAGATTTTCGGACACATAACACCATTAAGTCCTCCAAATCTCTCCATGAACCAAGCTACACGTATATTAAAAAACGTGTCAAAATCTTGGCTCATATTAGCTATTCCCAACCTAGAAAAGTTTTGGGTTCCATAACCTCCATCCCACCATTTCTTCAATTCCGACCCACAACACTTCAATTTAGATCATCAATTCCATCATTCTCATCAATGCTCAATGTGGTCAATTTTGTGTGATCGGAGTAGAGAACTAATGAACACTTCAAGGATGTCTACGGTAGATTTGTGATGGAGGAGTCGATGGCGGTGGCGAAGAAAAAACAGAGACTATAGAGAGTTCAGAAACGTTAAGCGACCGGAGATTCACTCGCCGGCAAAGTGATAATGAAGAGGATGATGGTTACCGATGCAGAAGTGGCGCAATACCGGTGAGTAAGCGCGCGTGAAAGTTCGCCGGAGTGTAGGCAGAGTTGGGTGAGAGAGAGCTGGCAAAAATGTCATCGGGGTTCTCAAGGGAAGGACCTGACTTTTACACCACCGGCGGGATTCGTGGAAGATCTATGAATTTCTTTACTCAATTAATCAAAATCCTACAACAGATCCTTTCATCAATGAGTACCTTTCTCTCTATTTATCTGTGTTTGTGTGTGTGTCAATTAATCCTTCAATAACAACAATAATTTGAAGGAAATTTTTTTTATCCAAGCACGACCCCCCATCTGATGTTCTTCTTTTTATTCACCACTAAGCTAAATCGCAACTGCTGTGTTGTGTCAATTATAAATAACCACTTGCAATAGTATGAATCTTCGTAGGATAACAATATAGGGAGGGTGTCGAACCCATAGGGAGGGAGGGTGTCGAACTCACAGGGAGATGAGTTATTACGATAACTGGTTCAATTGATTGATTGGTTATCACGATTATAAAACTAAAATTAAACTAGAGTGATTAAAGAGAGAAAGGTCTTAGGGCTTTGATATACTATGATTAACTGTTTCAACTATAGGGATTTAACAAATTATATTTTAAATGAATTGAACTCAATAACATTCGTTCAACTCAGGTTTTAAATAAATATATTTTATAAAATGTAATTAACTATAATCTATCTGCGGTTAGCATGATCTATTCACCTATCTACTCTAATTACTTTAACTAATTTGTAAATAATCCATCTTTCCTAAGAATAGACTATGAAAACATTCTTTTATAAAAAACATTGGAACACCATTACATAACCTCCATTCTTATGTCCGGCAGGGCTCCGGCAGATACCGTCCAATAAGAATGGGTTGAGAATAAAAAACGAACAGTTATATCTAAGACAAAGTAATAACAATTCGAAAACTATTTAAAATATAAAATCCAATTGAATTGTCTCAATTGCTCATAGTTATGTAATCAAAAACATAATATATTAACAATATCCCAGAGTTAAAACAATCAAGCCATAGTACTAGATTGGATTATAACAGTGCCCTAAGAGAGAAATTACCTACTCATGATGATGCCGAATATCATCTGTGTTATAGTCGTCTCCATCATCACAGACGCACTTCTCTTCTTAGGATCTTCACCTACTAAGGTTATGGAAACCCTAAAAACCGCCACTATAGTATCAGCCTTTTGAATAATATAAGAAAAGGGACTCCTTCTATCAAGGCATGTGCCTTTTTTTATAGAAGAAAATAAAGGTCTGGTGGGCTTTTAGGTCTTCTGGCCCATCTGGAATGAGATATGACTTTAAAAAGAATAATCCCGTAACTTAAATCTGATCTGTCATGGAAGGCTCGAGCTTTAGGAAGTAGAGCTCGAGCTTTGAGGTTCGGGCTCGAGCTTTGGGAACAGGGCTCGAGCTTTGGGAACAAGGCTCAAGCTTCATTGAGTTATTACTCGAGCTTCAAGGAATAGTGCTCGATCTTCACTTTTACACTTAGCCAAATTTCTTCAACTATTTTCCAAAGCGTCTTTTCTTTCAACACTTAGAATATTTTGGGATTCATCTCTTTTAACATTGCTCAATCCAAGCTTCATGGGCTCGAGCTCTAGGTACCAAGCTCGAGATTTAGGTACTCAAGGCTTGAGCTTTGAATAATGGTGCTCGATCCTTGAGGTCTAGCACGAGGGCCTGGGAGCTTGGTTCTTTCATTAAATCAACTCTTCAAATTCCGACGCCTTGTGCTCGAGCTTGAGGGCCAAGGCTCGAGCATCCTGAGGTTAGGCTCGAGCACCACTGAGTAGGTCTCGAGCTCTGAAGGTAAAAGGCTCGAGCTTCAATGCCTTGTTGATTTTTTTTCTTTTTTTTTTTCTTGCAGGGCTCGAGCCTCAGGACTTGAGCTCGAGCTTTGGTTCCTAAATTCTTCCAAACTTTAAGCTCTCGGCTTGCTCTGAATAACCGGCAACAACTCTATAAGCTTCGATATCAGTCTGTTCATCATAAAGTCTCGGTTTTAACCATTTCTCTGGGAAAGTACCTATAAACACATATTAAACATAAATCAGTCTAACAATAGATAGAAGTATTACTTTAGGCCTTAACATATGTATATTTAGGGGCTCGAATATGCAATATTCAGTACTCATCACACCCCCAAACTTACATATTGCTAGTCCCTTAGCAATATAGAACTAAAAAGCCGCTTTCGTGAGAATCGCGGTTGCATTTAGCCTATGCAACAAGCCTTTAAACCCCTAGGTTACTCCTAGTGGACGAGTTATAGTCTCGTGAGAGTTTCCAGTGATGGTACCCACAAACATCTCAAATAGTACCTTAATTGCACAATAAGCTCATTCAAGCCTGTTTTCAAATCATAATATCCCTGTAGTTCATTAATCAGTCAAATGTAGCAAGTACAGCCAATCATATAATCAGAAAAACTTTCAACTTCCAATTTCAATTTAACAGCCATGGTCCCCATATGTTAGTTTAATCATTCATTCAACAATCTTAATCTCCAAAACTCTTTGAAAATGATCTTATAATTAAACGTGTGACTTACTGTCCATACTTGCATTATCCCTTGCTATTCCTCAATTTATAGGCAAACTTTTCAAATTCCAACTCCCAATGCATTATTATTTTTTTCTACTGGTATGCATTTTTTTTCAAAAAGGATATTGTACTGTTGCCCAAGTATAGACTCTAGAGGGGAGGTGAATAGAGTCTTTGGCAAACAATGGCCAATTTTCAGTTTTGCAAATTCTACTAAACTCTTCTAACAATTATGCAATTATCAAGATATAAACATGAACAATTACTAGCATAAATGTAAAGAAGATAAGAGAAGAAAGATTGCATACATTCATATGGCGATTTTAGCGAGGTTCGGAAACTCCTACTCCTCGGCTCAAGACCCCTCTTGAGACTTCCCAATCCGATATGGCACCTCCTTACGGGTGGAGAGCAAACATTTACATGAAGCAACTCCTTGCTTCACTTTGCTAAGAGACAACCTCTCTTAGTCTTCCTTTGGGTCACACCAACCCTTACAAATATGAAGCTAGCTTGCTTCTTCTTCCTTGGGCCACACCAGCCCTTACAAGTGAAGATCAGATTTGTTGCATACAAATATATCTCTCAAAGATTGATATGCAAATATTAGCTCACAACTAAAGTATAGATGAATAAATTGAAACTTAATACTCTATGAATGATATGGGATGAGAGAGTATGATATGAATGAAAAACAAAAGCTCTTTGGATGCTAGAAGATGTCTCTCAAGTGTAGCAACAACTAATCCCGAAGTCCCCTTACTCTATTTATAGAGTTTAAGCAGCAAATTTAAAAATAGAGCTGTTATGCACACTGCCCGAGAGGAAATAGCCATTCAGATTCAAATCTATGCAGGTTCGGTCGACCGAAATGAAACACCCTTGTGTTTCGGTCGTCCGAAATGGTTTTAAGGTTGGATATCATCCTCTTAGTATCTTTGTTTCAGTAGACCGAAGTGAGTTGGTCTTGTATTTCAGTAGACCGAAATAGAACTGATGCATCATCCTCAGTATCTCTGTTTCGGTAGACCGAAGTGAGTTGGTCTTGTATTTCGGTAGACCGAAATAGAACTGATACTCCAGAAAATGTTCTAGGTTAACAGATGAAATAGTTACTCCACAGGACATCTGCACAGACCTTATTTTCATTGAAAATATTGAAGTAAATGTCTTTACTTTAATTTATATGTACATTTACTTTAAGTTTACAATGTAAATAAGGAAGTACCCCCCATTTGGATTCAATAAAAAATACTAGAAAATTGAAATCCAACTAAATCAAAATGTAAAAATTCAGTTTTAGTATAAATTTGGATTTATGACAGTTTTGGTAAAATTGAATCCTTATGTAGACCAATGTAGATTTGGTCAAAAATTCTGATAAAATCAGTTTAGGCTAGTTGAAGTATAAAGAGTTATTATCGGGAAAAATTATTTTGAAATAATCATTATTTCAAAAATCCATTTTTCACACTTAGCCAAAAACACAGTTTTT